AAAGAAAGAAAGAAAGAAAGAAAGAAAGAAAGAAAGAAAGAAAGAAAGAAAGAAAGAAAGAAAGAAAGAAAGGGGAAAAAAGACAAATGTAAAAAGAAAAAAAGGAATAGCCTTCCAGGTTCCTTTACCACAAATACGGCACCATTACAAAATTATCTTTTACTCTGCGGTTACAACACACACACACACCCTATTTACTATTATCTAATGGTTGTATTTTCTGATGGTTTCTCGCTGTCAAAACCACAAATCAAAAGTTCTTCCCCCCCCCCCCGTTTTATGCAAAATGGTTTTAAAGGATTTCCAGTCAGCAATAGAGGGAGGGAGGGAGGGAAGGAAGGAAGGAAGGAAGGAAAGAAGGAAAAAGAGGAAGGGGCATTGATGATCCTCTTCAAGGACCTGGAAGAAGACTCTGAGACCCCTTCAGAGGGAGAGGGAAATTTTAATTTTAGGGAGAGACTCATTCCAGCTGGCAGCCGCTGCAGCAGAGAGGGGCACGCTGCTGCCAGGATCCAAGTATATGCCATTGTTTATTGGATGGAACCTGGAAGCGGCTCTCTTGCCAGATGGAACCGATCGGTCAGATACAGTTGGAGACAGACAGTCCTGTGCCATCCCAGAAATCATTTGGGAAACAGCTGAAAATAGAAATGCCAATGTAATCATGATATTGTATAAATCTACGGTGTGATACCACCTTTTTTGTTCTGTCAAAATGGATATTGCGCTCTGGGGGAAAAAATTGCAGAGAAGACCCATAAAATTTGACCCTACGAACTCTGGAGTTTCTTAGCTTAGAGAGGAAGCAGTAAAGGAAGACGTATCCCAGTGACAACACTAGTAGAAACTGACAGAGAGTCACGATCGACAAAAGGAAGTATTTCTTCACTGGGAATTGTGCCATCGGATGTGGTTGCCGCTATCAATTTAGATGGCTCTTAAGAGGTTGCAAATATGAACGTGGGATTCGATTCCATTACTCTTTGGGCCTGTGGAGTTTCCTGAACGCATCTATGTGGTTGCCACTCTCGGGTACGTTAGATGGAGTTTTGGCCTGATCTAAGTAGACTCTGAGGTTACAGGCATTAGCGGTCAAACTTAATGTTGACCCATAAGGGATTAGGGGAGACGGGGGAGTATACGATTCTATACAGGAACAATCATTTATTTACACACTTACAGGATATTATAGATTGTTCAGGCAACTAACTCTGAGCAGCCTACAATGCCCCAGTACAAAATTAAGATTAAAGCTAAGGCTATAAGGCAGGGGTCTCCAACCTTGGCAACTTGACGACCTGTGGACTTCAACTCCCAGAATTCTCCAGCCAGCAGAGCTGGCTGGAGAATTCTGGGAGTTGAAATCCACAAGTCTTAAAAGTTGCCAAGTTTGGGAACCACTGCCTTAGGGAATGCAGGGCAGAGGTGAAGGCCAGATAAAGTGAGCCTTGATCCGTGTCTCTCTCTCTCTCTCTCCACCTCCAAAGCCCACGAGTTCTACGTCATGTGAGGGACAAAACCTGCTTTACAAGAACATAAGTGCAACTGCGTGTGGGAAGTGTAATGACTTAATTTCTGACGTGCCGCCAAAGTGTGCCGCCAGTAGCTAAGTGCCCAGATTTTGATCCCCGGGTGGAAAAAGGCATTGCGACAGCCGGAACTGTGAGGACTGGCCGTAAGGATCACACATTTCAGCGGCACCGAATGAAAGAGTATAAGTGAGGATCCCCTAAGGGAGAATTTTGGCATCTTAGCGTTGTAAAGTGATCGATGTGAAGAAAGTCATTTGAAGTTACTCATTCAAATAAACCTTATCCCTTCAGTCCCACTCTTGGAGTTTGGCTAAGTCGTCAAACGTCCTTGGCTTTCTTAAAAGATAAATCGGGTTTTTTTTTAAAAAAAATAATAATGTGATAAACAAGTTATAGTAGGAACAGATTAGAAGTAATTTCTGTTTGAAGAGAGCCGAGGTGGCGCAGGGGTTAAATGCAGCACTGCAGGCTACTTCAGCTGACCGCAATTCTGCAGTTCGGCTGTTCAAATCTTTACCGGCTCAGGGATGACTCAGCCTTCCATCCTTCCGAGGTGGGTNATGAATTCTGGGACTTGAACTCCACATAGCTTAAAGTTGTTGAAGTTAATAAACATTCCTGTAGAGCCCATGCATTGAATTGCTGGCTCAGTTTGAAGTTTGCACTGTATTATACAAGGACCAGGGGAGACATGATAGCAGTGCTCCAATATCTCAGGGGCTGCCCCAAAGAAGAGGGAGTCAAGCTATTCTCCAAGGCACCTGAGGGTAGGACAAGAAGCAATGGGTGGAAACTAATCAAGCAGAGAAGCAACTTAGAACTGAGGAGAGATTTCCTGACTGTGAGAACAATTAATCAGTGGAACAGAAGTTGCCTCCAGAAGTTGTGAATGCCCAACACTGGAAGTCTTTAAGAAGATGTTGGATAGCCATTTGTCTGGAATGGTATAGGGTTTCCGGCCTAGGCAGGGGGTTGGACTAGAAGACCTCCAAGGTCCCTTCCAACTCTGCTATTGTATTATAGGTGCCAAAGACGGCAGCCTTAAAGATTTGGACAAATAAGAATAAGACTTCAATTAGTGCATGGAGAGAAAGAGTTATACAATTCTGGAATAAAGAATGTTTGAATTAATTTCTTTGCACGCAAGTGGTGTCCACAAGCGATGGTCAAAAAATTAAGAGTGGCAACACAGCTGCAATGAGAAGGGACACTTGCTTCTCCTACACCTTGTGGGACAGTCCTGTTGCCACACGATGCAGGCAGTCCTCGTTTAGTGACCGTTTGAAGTTGCAATGGCACTTAAAGAAAGTGACTTATTATGGCCATTTTTCTCAGTTACGACCGTTGCAGAATGCCCATGTTCACGTGATCATAATTCAGACGCTTGGCAACTGACTCATGCTTACGACCGTTGCAGTGTCCCGGAGTCACCTGATCCCCCATTTGCGACCTATCTCACCAGCAAAGCCTGATTCACTTAACAACCATGTTACTGATTTAACGACAGCAGTGATTCCCTTAACAAAGGAAAGCTGTAAAATGGGGCAATGCTCGCTTCACCAAGGTCTCGCTTTGCAACATAGATGTTGGGCTCGTCGTATGTCGAGGCCCGCCTGTGCTGTGTTTCTCCAGTGAGTCCTTATCATTTAATATCACGCCTATCCCGCCGTTGCTGTTCCTAACAGGTGTTCTGAGGAGCACATCAACCATATTTACCACCTGCTGATGTCCCAGTTAAGCCAGGATCACGCCGAGATCCGCCTTTCAGCCTTTCAGATCGTGGATCAGCTCTTCGCTCGCTCGCACCTCTTCCGAACGCTGCTTATTTCCAACTTCCAGGAATTCCTGGAGCTGACGGTGGAGACAGACCACGACCAGCCTCTTCCTCCACCCGCTGACGTGGCCCAGAAGCTGAAAAAAGCCGCCATTAAGTCTGTACAGGAATGGCATGAAAAGTACGGCCAAGCCTACAAGAAACTCTCCTTGGGATATTTCTTCTTAAAACAGAACAAGAAGGTACTTGAACGCCTGCAGTTTACGGCTTGAGGCTTCGGGGCAGGGATTTCCAACCTGAGCCACTTCTAAGCCACTTCAATTCCCAGAATTCCCCAGCCAGCAAAGCAAAGCTAGCAGAGGAATTCTGGGAGTTGAAGTCCCCGCATCTTAATGTGGCCTAGGTTGAAAAACGCTGCTCTTAAGATGTTAGAGAACTAATGATGATGACTTTTAAAAAAAAAATGACACTGCAGGGAAATAAGACTTTGGTTTTGAATAAAAAGCCAGCCTTAGAATTTGTTATCCCATTTCTGCAAGCTGACAAGTCTTAGTCAATGCTTAAATTTAGTTAAAGAGTATGCGTGTTGAGAAATTAACTCTTTAAGCTGCATTGAATTGGTCCTATATTCTGCCTCCCCCTACTTTTTCTCTATGTTGAAATAGAAAAGGCGGTCATTTTTAAACAGAATAATAATGAAGGAAAGGTAGGTCCCCGAATCCTGCACAGACTTTTCTGCTATGTAAAGACTGATATACTGTACATACATACATACATACATACATACATACATACATACATGTTTCAGACTTGATCTGGCATTTTGGTCTACCTATTAAATCCTTGCCAAGAACCTGGGGTAGCCAAATGTTACGTTTTGATAGTATTAAAGGAATCNTTGTAGTAGAGACAGAAACCATACCATAGACTTTGTATTTAGCCTTTATTTTTGCATGTTGATGTTGATTAGCTAATAAAGACATTGCTCATAAATTTTGTTTCTGTTCATTAGTTAAAACAGGAGAGAGTTAATGTGCTTTAAAAACCAAATGGTTAATATATATATATATTAATATATACAGGTTCGAATCCCAGTAAGGGTACGGCTAGCTGATGAGAGCTACATAGCTTGAAATAGATCTATACTAGTCTCCCTTTATTTATTTATCAGCACAAATGCAACACACACACATACACACACATATATATATTTCCCTGCAAAAAAAAAGGTGGATTACTGGGGTTCAATCAAAAACTGGTTTTGACAAGTAGCGGTCCCTTTTAATTTTTCCTTAACCTTTTTCCGAACGAAAATACTATATAATGAAGATTTTTGTGATTGCATAAGTAGAGAAATAGCACACATTTAATACTTAAAATACTTTTGACTTAGCGGTGAACAACTGTGCGAGATGCGAGGCCTTGCAATAATTTAATATAAAGTGGACTAATAAAAGGGTGGGTTATTCACAGACATAATTATATTTAAGCCTCAGTGGGACTTTGGACATGATACTTTTCAAATTACATTTTCCTGAGTTCAGTACTAATAGTCCTCAGACCAACTCTTCAATCTCCAAATTTTATTCAGGGGGTTGATTTAATGTTCCCATTCATCGTAGATGAGTGGTGCTTGAAAAATAGAGCGTGTGTGATGAAGAATATTTTCGAAACTGTTTTGATGTCTCCTATGAGACCATGCCCAATTTCACTTATTTAAAAGTATAATAGATTCAGAAGCGGAGAAATCATGTTTTAACAACACCAATGCACCTTGGGCCTTCCAAATAAATTCCTCTCCTTTTCCAGGGCTTTAAGGCAGTGGTTCCCAAACTTGGCAACTTTAAGACTTGTGGACTTCAACTCCCAGAATTCTCCAGCCAGCAGAGGTCATGCAGATTCTCCGTCCTCGGTTGTCCCAAGGTGCATTTTTTTTCAAGAGGCAGCTGGACTTCTGGTTTTTTCTTTGAAGACGTTTCACTCCTCATCCAAGAAGCTTCTTCAGCTCTTAAGGGATGGTGAGGAATGGATGGAGTCAGAGCTGAAGAAGCTCCTTGGATGAGAAGCGAAACGTCTTTCAAGAAAAAAAAAGTCCAGTTGTGTAACGTTCCCGTGGTTCGTCCATGAGGCCAATGTTGAGAAAAGACAGGACACGATCTTTCTCGGGATGGAGCGATGACCCAGATTGGGGGTCTGAGAGCCCCTTTTATTGAGATAGGACAAAGGCAGGA